CATAGATTTTTAAGTTAATTTTATCTGTTGACAAATTGTGATGCTTTAGGATGTATGGGAATGAATATGTATATATTGCTGTAACTAAATAAAACTCAACATATGTTAATCAAATATATTCTTACGACAGCGGATGTCAAGTGACGCTGGTAACACATGATGAGTTTCTAGAAGGATCATGAAGGCTCGAATGTTTGCCAGACGCCCTCTATTTTAATATATAAGCCCGGCAAATAAAGCGGAGATAATGATAGCAGATAGACAGATATAGAGACAGATAATTGAGTCAAGTGAGCGGTAGTGACCTTAAGTAAAGTGCGTGAATCGTTGTGAATTATAGCGTGTGTTTAAGTTAAACTGACTGTGGAAATTAAGTGTATTGCAAAGTTGTATATAGAAAGAATAAACTAGTTTTATTTGAGAAAGGACTTGTATCGCTGAAGTTCCTCGGGAAGAATTTATACCGGAAATTAACAAACGACTAGAGACGTAACAATATATATTGATTAGATACAATTCTTGTACATAGTTCAATTCTGAACAAGCCATATTACATTTTTTTTAAGTGTTATATAGTACATATGATGTTCTCAAACAATTATTTGTGAGATAATATATATATTTCTGTACAACATTTCATCTCCAACAGTGAGAAATGATCATCACTAGTGGATTCAGGTGGAACATGTGACGTATTTTTGTATCCTTATGCACCACCTTTAACAATAAATAATCTCAATAAAATATTTTATTTCCTGTCTCTCCTAGCTACAGGCTGAAAATTTAAAATATCATATTTAAGTTTGGTGTACCATCTGGTTGCATCGATATGAATATTGTATGCTGACCTCAACCCTCCTTTCAAAAATCCTAGATGGATTACTGGTGATCATGTAACACATTTAACATCATGTCTCAGTGAAACATTGTACAGAAATATACCACAAACACTACAGCAATGACGAGTTGATATGTGTGTCAAACTGCAGCAATGGTGAGTTGATGTGTGTGTAAAGCTATAGCAATGATGAGTTGATATGTGTGTTATAACTACAGCAATGGCATGTTGATGTGTGTGTCCAACTATAGCAATGGTGAGTTGATATGTGTGTTAAACTTCAGCAATGGTGAGTTAATGTGTGTGTTAAACTACAGTAATGGTGAGTTGATGTGTGTGTTAAACTACTGCATTGATATATTGGTGAGTGTGTTAAACTACAGCATTGATGTATTGGTGAGTGTGTTGAATACAGCAATGGCATGTTGATGTGTGTGTAAAACTATAGCAATGGTGAGTTGATATGTGTGTTAAACTACATCAATGGGGAGTTAATGTGCATGTTAAACTGCAGCAATGGTGAGTTGATGTGTGTGTAAAACTATAGCAATGGTGAGTTATATTGTCTTAAACTACAGCAATGGCATGTTGATGTGTGTGTTAAACTACAGCATTGATATATTAGTGAGTGTGTTAAAAACTACAGTAAATTATGCCCTAGTGCTTATCAAACACAAGAAAGTTGTACACAGCCCATGCTAAACAGTACATGGGGGCTGTTAGCAGGTTGATATCGTATCTCTATTCTTTGTTTACAAAATTGGATAGTAAAAGTTAATTTGTAATGAATGAGTTGATTTTTTTATTTTTTTTTATAAAATGAACCTGTGGTCATATGTCTACTATAAAGGAAGGGTACAAGGCATGGTAGGTTTATTTGATGAATAAACAAAATAATATCCAATAAAATGTTTAAATCCAGCAAATTTGAAAAATTATAATATTATAATCTCTTTCAAGTATGGTGTATAGCATCTTGACTATAATCATATGATAATATTCTTTTGGAATGTATAGAATAGAGTAAAATGACAGTTAAATTTATTGTTATAAAATAAAACATCAGTTTCACTATTTGTTATAAAATTAATTATCAAACTGGCATCAACACATATCTCATAAAAAAAGTTACTTTGAAGTAAATTTACTTCACATAGCTGTTTGTATGTACGAAGATACTGTGTTTATATTTAACTCTTAG